CTTTTGTTTCCATGAGATAGAATGGAACAGTTTGATACTGTTCCCCTAAACTCAAGCAGCGCACCCATTATTCCAAATCTAAAAAATCTATGTAGCTTCATGCTAATGAAATGCACCTCAATGGTAATACCTTTGTAGAAATACTACTGTGGAAATAAAGGTAAAAGAATGCTGAGGTGGGACCCAGACTGGTACTAAAATGTAATGGTTATTTGCAAAAAAATACCAGTAATGCCACATAGAAAAGGCCCAGGATAAAACAGATTTTTAATGTATTGATCCTCTTCCATATGTGCAGAGCTCACCATCACAACAGTTGGATTAGAGCATAATGGGAATAAGTATGTTTGCATCTTTCTTCATTTGCCAAGCATTTCCTAATGACGTGACGCTGACACTGAGCTGACTGCCCTTGCTGTGTTTGCTAGTTTTAATTTCACTTGAAGAAGAATCAATGCAAATGCTCTCTTTCCTGCTCCTTCTCAGCATGTTTGAATATTGCTGCTTTTACTCTGAGTATGTAGTCTCCCTGAAGAGAATGCTTGTGCCATCCATGCATTTCACTTTGGCAAACACGAGTTAATGTTATTATCTAATTACTTGGTATGTGCTATAGAAACAAAGCCATCTAATGTTAGGATAAATGAAATCTACAAGAGGGAAGAGACAGAACTCCCTATTTTCATCTTACGTTTTGAAACAGTAATGAAAATGATACTCCAAAAAATACCAGATGGGCAGTTTTAAGGACTAGAACTCCTCTGTCTAGGAAGATGATGGAGTGGGAGAAGCACCCTGTTTTCACAGTACTCCTCATTCTTGCCCAATTCGCTTTAGAGGAGCTATTGACAAGCTTTTAGTTGTTACTGGTCTCCTTTCTATTTAGACTGGCTCTATGAAGGATAAGATTACAGCCGTTAAAGAATTATCCAGTAAGTCATCTCCCCAGAAATTATTTTCATAGCGTGAGTTTTTGGGATACACAGTTCCTTCATTAATGTAATCCTCAATTTTTTACCCTTCAGTATTACTTGACCTAATTAGGTAATGCTCAGGTTGAAGGAGGCCACTTTCTAAGAGTTCATCCCATAAACTGGCTAGTCTTTTTTGTTTCTTACTGAAAGAAGCCCCAGAGAAGGCTCTTGACTCTGCAGTCTCTGATACATGGTCAATCTGTATGTTTAGATGGCCTGTAGAAGGTCAAACGAGTGAATATCAGGGTTATTCTACATTAGATAGTGTTACACACCTCATAGGAACACACAGACTGTATACGCAGTAAAGAACCTATCTCAGACTGCCCTCTGTGAGAATGAAAACCTCATTGAAAGGACTAAAATAGATTTATGTCTCTTGTTTCTTGAGATGTCTCGTAAGTCAAGGTGAGTGCACAGGGAGTGCAATTAAAGTGATCTTATTTATTGTCCAGTTTAGCCCGTACCAATTTAGTAATCTCCTGTACTCTGCTCTCCAGTAACTGGTAATTTTCACATGTTTCTTGGTTCTGTCTAAGACCCTTTGAAATAATGTGGAACTGAGAGCAGCTGATGGTTATAGAGCTTGGGAACATTTGCATGAAAAGATTTTTGTGCATCAGTATGCTAGTGAAAAAAGTATCTTCTGTAGAGTTTGAAAGACCGAATGACAGTCTGTTAGAGTACACCTTCTGAATAACTTTTTAAATGCCACAATGCTGATATCACTTGAAATACTTAAATAATTTTCTGACAGTAGCAGAGAAGTGTACAATAATGAGTACAAATCAATAGGGCTTTGGGTTTATTTGGTGGAAAAAAACCTGTGTGGAAAACTCATTTTGGAAAGCGATTATGAGTTACTAATAGGCATTCAAAGTGAAGAAAATAATTTGAAACTGAGACAAAGGAGTAGTTCAACTTTGTGCAAAATTGCTTATCTGTCTGGTGTAAACCCAAATTCTGCCTAAACTGCGGTACATTATCTTGTCTCTGAATTTACAGGAGATACTGTGACTGTTGATAAAAATCTGCTTTTTCTCAAGGGATTTCTATTAGTATTTAGGAGGCAAACATTCTGGCTTTAATAGTACCGCATGTTAACAAATACTTGTTACACTTATCTACACACCACTTTAACTAGAAGCTGAAGTCAACCTGCATTTATTCTGTGTGAAAACAGTAGTAGCCATCTCACCTTCCTCCAGGTATTAGAAGATAAGAATCATTTTTTAAGCCCCCCTCCAATGAGCATGATTCGTGATCAATGGAAAGGTCCTCTTTATTTTGGAATGGAAAACTACTATTGTTTACTTTAAAACAAAAGCCAAGAAAATGAACTATTATTTTCTCTTTCAAGATGACAGATAATTCAGTGAGTAAATAATTATTGTGGTACTCAAGATGACATCATAGATTTATGAACTGAGATCATGATGATTTTGTGTAGGATAAGACATACACTCTCTCCATTTTGGTTTCCTTTTGGCACAAGGAAGACAATGTAAATGTTCTATTTTTTTACTGTATTGTTAGGATAAGTGAATTGAATATTCTGTTAAGTAAATCATCACCATCACTATAAAGTGATAATAATAACACTATTATAACTGTTATAATGATGAATTCAGGTACTGTGGCTACCTTGAGAGAGAGACTTTTCCTAATTTTCCATGAAATCATATTGTAATTTTGTGTATCCTTGTCCAATAAGCAGCATAAAGACGTTATGCTCATCTGTTCCCAAGCTTGAAAAATTCAGTTGATTGTGTATTGGTTGAAATACTTTCAATAAATACAAAATACTTTATTGTGTATTAAATCTCATCCAGCTTATATACATCTAGAAGGGGGGACAGTTACATGGAACAAAAAGTGGGTAGACAAAAAAAAGACCCAATGAGTCATAAAAAGCATTGCATGAGAGTCAGGCTCCATAAGAAAGGAAATCTATCTATGTATGAATTGTCTCTGTTTGTTAGAGCTTGCACCTGTGTTCTGGAACAGAACTAAAGTTGGGGGCAGCAGGGAAGAGAAGCAGAGTATGTTATTAGGTAAAGGTTTGTGGAAGTAAGCTTAAGAAACAGATTAATTCCTAAGTTCTATTAAGGCTAACTTTGGAGTTTTCAGTAGCTTCTTTACTGACTAAAGTTCACATTAATATTATCTGTTCAACTGCTTCAAGGGTAAATATTTTCATGGGCTTCTTGACAGTATCAGTAATCATTGATCCTGGTGCAACAACTGAGGAACAATTGATTTAGTAGTGTCTTCCATTGACATAACCACCTACTCTCTCTCTTTGTTGGTAAGGACTAATTAAAAGCCACAAAACACTGACTCAAACCCGAGTGTTTCATTTTTTTAAAGTAATTTTCCTTCAAGAAAGTACTACCAGAATACGTCTCTATCTGGAGATGAATGCATTAATAAAAAGAAAAGAAAAAAGAACAGATGAAAAAGTCAAGAATTTTTGTTTCTTGCTACTGCTTTGCTCCCCAACTTGCACCATGTATAGGCAGGTCAAGCACTGCTCTATTAAAGAACAGCAAGTTCTCTTCAACAGAGCTTGCAATTTCTGGGACTCCTCCACTTAGACTTGAACAGTTTTGACAATAAGACAAAAAATATAACCAAAGGAAGGGCAGGAAACAAACGAAATAAAAGTATGTCCTACACAGTGAAACTCTGGTACAAAAATAATATTTACTGTAATTATAAATAATAAATAAGTCCTTGTTTCTAAATTTGCTATCGATAATGAATAAAAGAAAACATAAAAATTTCAGAGTGTTATTCTTATGGAATAGATAGTAAAAGCTAATTGTGACCACTGGTGGGGAACTGATTGAAGTGATCCTCTACTCCCTACTGAGTAGGAATGGCCAGTCAGAAGAAAAAATGATAGACAGTTTGTAAATCGATGCGAGGAAAAAAGTCAAATTTACCAAACATTTGTTGCCATGCCAAGTCTATTTCAACAAGACATGCATGATATTATCACATGAGAAAAACCCAACTAAACACAACCTTTCTTCCTTTTCAAAGACTTTCTTCTCAAGTATCCATAGTTTTACAGAACCCAATCCAAACAGAGATCCCCAAAGATTTCATATTATTCAATGTTATGCAAAAACATGAAAAGCAATATGATTTATTTTTGAGAAACTGTTTCAGACAACGACAGGAAAAAGCAGTGACTACTGAGGCAGTCACTTGAATGCCACAAAGCCAACAAAATGTAAGGGTTTGTTGGTTTCTTGCTTTCATCTTTTATGCCTCAATTACTAAACCTGTTCTCCCAGTGACCCCTCATTACATAAGAGCACTAAATTCCCCTATCTGGCTGTAACACACACAGTACTCCATCAAACCCTATGGATTCCATATGGATTTCATATGGATTTTCCTTGGTCTGCTTCAGCACTATCCCTTGGGCAGGGTGTCACAGGGCCCTTTGTGACACGTGATGACATAGTAGCGGTGGTGAGGTGGCCACGCCTCAGTGCTCCTCGGAGCGTGCGACGGGACGGACGGGAGAGAGCGGTGTTGTGCGGAGCCCCCGTGCAGCCAACTCCTTCCCTGCGGATCCGGAGCGTTTTGGAGGCGTTTCTGTGCTGCAAGTGCCCTCAAGGCCAGACCGTGGGACTTGGTGACACGGAGCTTTTGCGAGGTGTCTCCAAGCCCCGCGGCAGGTGCCCTTGAGGCCGCGCTGCAGGACTTGTTAACCCGTAGCGTTTCGTAGGCTTTTGTCTCTTTCAGGTGCCCTCGAGGCCAGACCGTGGGAGTTGGTGACCCGGAGCTTTTGCGAGGAGTCTCCAGTTCCTGCGGCAGGTGCCCTCGAGGCCATTCTCTGGGGCTCGGTGCCCCAGAGCTTTTCCCTGGTGTCTCCAATCCCTGCAGCAGGTGCCCTTGAGGCCCGACTGCAGGATGGCAGGGAGACGCTTCAGCCTGGGCGGGTGTCTCGGGAGGAAGAAGAAGGACGGCCCTGGGACTGGCCCAGCACGGCAGCCTGAGGAGGCGGAACGGTCCCAGCCCCTGCAGGAGGGTGAGTGGCAGAGCTGGGCCCCAGGGCTGGTGGCTGCATCCGGCTGGGCCTCTTGCTATCCCATCCCCAGTGGATATGGCCAGGAAAAGGGAGGGGAGAGGAGGGCCCGAGGCTTTTCCCCGGCAGCTGCACGTGCTGGGCATCCCGGGGCCAGCCCCGCCTGTGGAGCGCGGGGCTGGGCCGTGTTCTGCGGCCTGTCCCGCAGCCCCTCAGCTCTGACCGCGCTCGCTCTTTGCCAGATCCAGGACGGACCCAGACACAAGAGCAGGACCGCGCCCGTGGCCGCTTCCGCAGGGCAGCACAGGTACCTGCAGCTGTCACCTCCTGGGCTGGGCCTGCTGTCAGGCCTGCTCAGCCCGGCACCCGCTGTGGGAGCTCTCCAGGGCACATCCCTCTCTTCCCTGCCCTTTGTTTTCCTGTAGGCCTTTCTGAAATTTGTGGGCATTCGGCGTAGGAAGACCAGGGTCACACCAACCGAGGTCATGGCACAGCCTGACCCCACGCCGAGTGAGCCTACGGCCGAGGCTGATGGTGCAACCACCCAGGGCATGGCAGGCACTGACATCACACCCATTCAGCGCCTGCCCGATGCTCCTAGTCTGGACATTCCCGGGGAGAGAGTTGTCTCTGTGGAAGTAAGCAGCCTGTGGGTAGGGATTGTGTGGCCCCTCTAGTCAGGTCTGCTGGGCCCCCTCCGCCTTTGAGGCCAGCACGGTGTGGTGGGAAGGGAAGCCCTTCTCGGGGGAAAGTGGGAAAATTGCTCCCTCTGGCAGCTCTCCAACTCCCCCATGGCCCCTCCAGGCCAGCCTGTGGGACTTGATGAGCCGGAGCGTTCCCAAACCTCCTGTATTGCAGGTGCCTTCAAGGCACTTGTGCGGGACTTGGTGACCCAGAGCTTTTGCGTGCCATCTGTCCTGCAGGAAGCCGTGAAGCCAGACAGAGACATGGAGCAGAGCCCCCCCAGGGTGCCCAAGCTGGCCTGGCTGAAGGAGGGGGAGGAGGAAGGCCCTGGAGCTGCCCCATCACAGCAGCCTGAGGAGGCGGAGCGGTCCCAGCCCCTGCAGGAGGGTGAGTGGCAGAGCTGGGCCCCAGGGCTGGTGGCCGCAGCCAGATGGGCCTCTTGCCATCCCATCCCCTGTGGACATGGCCAAGGAAAAGGAGGGGGGAGGAGGGCCCGGGGCTGATCCCCTGGCAGCTCCACACACTGGGCATCCCTGGGCCGGCCCCGCTTGTGGAGCCTGGGGCTGGGACGTGTTCTCCGGCCTGTCCCGCAGCCCCTCAGCTCTGACCGCGCTCGCTCTTTGCCAGATCCAGGCCGGGCTCGGACACAAGAGCAGGACCGCGCCCGTGGCCGCTTCCGCAGGGCAGCACAGGTACCTGCAGCCGTCGCCTCCTGGGCTGGGCCTGCTGTCAGGCCTGCTCAGCCTGGCACCGCTGTGGGAGCTCTCCAGGGCACATCCCTCTCTTCCTGCCTTTCTCCTGCAGATGGTTTGCGAATTCACCAGGTGCATTTGGAGGGAAGAGACCATTGCCATGGGCGCTGGGGGCATGGCAAACTCTGACCTCTCCAGTGCCGAAACCAGTGCTGCCCTGCTGGATTTGCTTGTGGAGAATGGTGTCTCCAATGCCAAGAAAGTAAGCAGCCTGTGGCCAGGGCTCCAGCCCTGCAGGGATTGGGTGGCCCCTCACGCCGGCTCCGCTGGGCCCCCTCAGCCTTTGAGGCCGGCGGAGAGTGGTGGGAAGGGAAGCACCTGTCGGGGGAAGCCAGGCAAGTTGCTGGCGCTGGCAGCTCTCCAACTCTCCCCCGTGCCCCCTCCAGGTGCCGGCCTTGGTCAGGTACATCCACCGGTGGCTCACGGCCAATGCGTCTGCTGAGCGCAGACTAGACAAGGCTGTGCTGGCTCTGGTCGAGGCACACCCCGTGGATGTGGCGGTGACTCTGCTGCGCTCTGCCCCATCCTGTGACAGGTATGGGGCCCCCCTGCCTCCAGGGCTCACCAGCCCATCCCCCTGTAGAGCCCATCCCAGGTGTCTGTCAGGCCGAGAGTTCCAGGAGCCTCTGGCTCTTCTGTTTCCCAGCCCTGGCATGCCAGCCGTGCATCCTGCTCCCATGTGCCCTCCTTGCTCCTCACGGTGCTGCGGCTCTGTCACCTGGGAGTGGGAACTGCCCAGGCCGTGGCACTGTGGCTGAGAGCCCGCTGACACAGAGTTTTGACCCCGCAGAGCTGCGGTGACCATGTGGAGGACAATCATCTCCTCAAGAAGTACTGCCGAGTCGGTGCTGCAGATACTTGCCCTTGTCCTGGGAAGCTGGCCAGCCTGCAGCATGTGCACCTCGGATGGGGATGAAACGGAAGTCTTTGCCCTGGCTGTGAGTTTCTGGAACCGGCCTTTGCTCACCCTCACGTCTCCTCCCCGGCAGCTCTTCCTCCTCCCCCAGCACTGCATCTCCCTGCCTTAGGCACTGGGCTGCAAAGCTGGCTTAGGGGCAGGTTCAGGGGCACCAGGCCGGGTGCTCCTCCTGCGTCTCCCCTGGCCTCTCCCTGCCGCGCTCGGGCCCTGCCCCATGGATGTCTGGGCACTGAGCGCTGTCTCCGGCTGGTTTCCTTTTTGCAGGCAACCTTGGCATTCTGGAAGATCCTCCATCTGCTCTGCTGCACGCGTGCAGTGAGGGGGTGTTTCCCCAACCTCTTTGTGCATCTGCTGTTCCAAGTGTTCTTCAGCACCGTGCAGATGCTGGAGGAGGTTGACACCTTGTGGAGGGAATGCCGGAAGCAACACAGCCTTCCCACCAACCCCAACAGGTGCTCCGTCCCAGTCCTCCTGTCCCTGCCACGCCTTTGGGGCTGGCCAGGGCTCCCAGCATGACCTGGCCTTTGCTCTGCACACAGGTTTGCAGTGCTGACCATCAAAGCCCTGCTGCACCGTCTGCGCTGTGAGAGCGTGTTGGTGGCCATGGAACGCAAGCGTGGCTGGGACACGCTGCTCAGCGCTGACACCCACCACTACGCGGTGGGTCTGCTGGCCAGGTGAGACCCCCTTGTCCCCGCTGCCCCTGTCATTTCTGCCCTCTGCACGGGGCACCCCTACAGTGCCCGTGGTCGTGGGCCAGAGGGCCTTGTCACCGAGGGATGGCCGAGCAGAGTGGAAAAGGCTGGGAGAGGCGGGTGCACAGGAGGAGCCGCCTGCCAGAGTGCCCTGGTCCCCTGCCGGGGTGCTGGGGAAAGACCAGGCCTCTGGGAGTGAGTGGCGGGAGAGGCTTGCCCAGCCAGCTCGGGCATGACAGTGCCTTTTTCCCCCTGCCAGGGAGATGGGTTCTGCCTGCACAGCCTGGTGTTGCAGCATCGTATGCTGCCTCCTGGAGCTGCTCAGTGAAGAGATGTGTCCCTGGGAGCTCCCTGCCATGGCGTTCCTTGTGGAGGTGAGCCTGATGGCGAGCGCTGCCTGGCCGAGCTGCCTCCACCTCTCTGGCCTTCTGCAGCCGCATCTGCGGGGGAAGCCCAGTGAACGGAGCTGGGGCAGAGGGGGGGTTCCACCGTGCGCCCTTGGCCCCTTGCTGCTGGGGTGACACTTGTGCCCAGCTGTGTTTTGGGTCCCTCTGCTGCCAGCAATCGCACTTCCCTCGTGGCTCCTCAAGGCCAAGGAATCCGAGGGCTGGGTGGCACAGAGGAGCGGGCGAGTGGCCTGCGCAGAGCAGGGAGCCCAGGGGCTCTGCAGAGCCACTGCTGCTTTTGGGCAGGGCTGCCTGGGACGGTGCCGCACCCTGTGCTGCTGCCTGGGCCCAGCCCTGTGCGGGTGCGGGCTGCTGCCGGCCGGGCAGCCCGTCACCGCTCCGTGCCTTTCAGGCCCTGGTCTACGTGGAGGTGACCGACTGCGGCGAAAGCATCCTGCCGATCCTTTCAAGGCACCTGTGGAGCGAGTGCCCAGAGATGCGTCGCCAGGTGCTGAGAGGCCTCGTGGTGCTCAGCCAGGATGCTGTGATGGTGAGGAAGGGGCAGTTGGCTGAAGCCGTGCTGGAATCCTGGAGCCGGGGAGCACAGCTGCTGCCAGCTCTGCTGCCTCCCCGCTCAGCTGCTCGAGTGCCTCGGGACAGGCCTTTGGCCTCTGGGCCCCACAGCAGCCCGTGGAGCTGCCCCGCCAGAGCGGGGTTGGTGCCGCAGCCGTTCAGGGCTTCACAGCACAGCCTTGTGTTCCTCACAGGCCAAAAGAATGCGCAGCCTGACCCAAAGCCTGGTTCAGCTCCTGTGGGACGCAGATGTAGAGCTGGTCAGGATGACCGTCGCTCTACTCGGCTTTCTGCTCTCGGACAAAGACATCCGACTCTCCAGCCCCACCGCCCTGCAGCTGGCTGAGGCGCTCCAGCCGCTCTTCGACAACGTAAGGCTCTGTGCCCCGCAGCCACAGGCCATGGGTGCTGGCAGGAAACTTTGTGCCTTGTGGATTTTCAGGCCTGTGCCCAGGTGGGCCTGGAGAATTCAGTGCTGAGGTCTTTCCATTTCCACCAGGCTGACAGCAGTGTGCAGCTGTCCTCCATCCTCCTCTTCCGTGGGGTGATGCTGATGGTAGAGAAAGAGGGAAAAAAGCCCCTGAAGCCACACGTCCGCCAGAGCCTGCTTCCACTCTTCTTCCACTGCCATGATGAGAACCAGAGAGTGGCAGAGGTGAGCACTTGTGGGCTCTGATGTCCCCGCGGGAGGGGGCCGGGCTGCCTCCTGCCCTGGCACCTCACGGGCTCCAGCCTCCTGCTGGCCTTGCTCCAGGGACACGGGTCCTTTGCCCTGGGCCGTGGTGCCATGTCCCAGTGCTTGTTGCTCTGCAGGCCTCTGGGGAAGCGCTGCTTTGTGTGGCCGGCTTAGTGAAGAGGAGGGATCTCGAGAAGATCGTGAAGAAGAAGGAGCTGTGGAGGTTCAGCGAGTGCCTGGTAAGGACGGCCATGAAGCCCCAGTCCCAGGCTGGACCAGCCCCCAGCCCCCGATGCCTGGAGTGTGGGGCTGGCCCTGTGCCCCTGCCCACTGCTGCAGCCGCCTGCGGGACAGCAGCCTGCGCCCCACACGCTGCTGCCTTCCCTGGGGGGTGCGGGCAGGGGAGGCCAGTGCTGGGCGCAGGCAGCACCCGGCCAAGGGGCAGAGCCCCAGCCAACCCTTCCCTCCGTGCCCTGCCGCTCTCTGCAGCTGGAAAAGGAGCGGAGCCGAGTGGCCGAGTACCTGCGCCAGGCCCTTCCATACCTGGAGAGCCCACAGGAGCCCCTGCGCGAGGCGGCCGTCAGGTTCACAGGTGAGCCACAAGGTCCCTCCCCGCCCCGCCGCAGCTCGGCCCCAGCCCCGGCTGCTGCAGCGGCAGCAGGATCCGGCCCAGGGATGTGCTGTGGAGCCCCGAGTGCCCCGGCGGATGCCGCCGCCGCCCTGTGCCAGCCCAGCCCTGGGGCGTCCCGAGGCCGGAAGGCCCCGGGCTCAGCCCTGCCAGGGCAAGAGGGCGTGTGGCCGGACCGGCAGCGCCGCTGGGGGGGAGCTGTGCCGCTGGGCCGTGACAGCACCTGTCTTCCCAGGGATGGCCGGGAGGTATATGC